ATACTGTAATAAGGAGATGGGAGGAAGTATAGCCCAGTCAGACCTAAAAGATTCGATTATAAACTATCACAACAAAAATAGTTCTAATGTTCATGTGGAATTGATCTTGTGGTCTGATCTACCAAATGATGTAAAGTTAACTAATTTGTTTCGTTAATGGGAAAATTGAAATCTTTAGCATATGTTGTGAGATTTGTTTTCCCCAAAATGGCTAGTCTGGGCAGTTGCACATTCACAAAAAGGCTGGTTATGGGTTAAGGTCACAATCTCTAGAGATCTTCAGGATGTCCACTACTGCCTTACCTCCACCCTCCCCTCCATAGAGAGATGTATATATACTGCCTAACACAGAATCAGGATCCACTCATCTATCATTTTAATTTTCTAAGAAAGGCTATATATACTAGGCATTCTTGCAAATAAATTGAATCTAAAAATGGACTGCTTGTTCTGCAGCATGCCAGCTTCTAATTTATTATTGTTAACCAAAAGTATCTAAATAAAGTAACTTTTTTAAAAAGCAGGAATCATCTAAGGTTCACTATTAGCCACTATCATTTGAAATAGTAGTAGACAAAATTTCTTATGTGAATAATTTTCACAACATTAATTTATAATGGCATTTGGACTTTGTTCAAAGTCCAAATAGTCCTATTTATACAGGGATAAATAATTAATATTGTTAATTACTTCACCCCACCAGCATTTATTCATCACAACAACCCTATGAAGAGCCTGAGATAAAATGATTGGCTTAAAGTCAGAACTTCGTGGTAGACCAATCATTTCAATCCATTCTCCTGAATCTAATCTAGCATTCAGACCACTACAACACACTGCTAACCACTGCCGGCATTTGTTGTTCTGTGGCTCCTCAAACTACAAAAAGAGATTTAAATTGGCATCAAACTGAATATGTGAAAGTGACTTTTAAAAATAAAAACTGCACATAGCAGCTTCTATGACATTATTCTGGTCACGCATCCTTCAAGGTACAAACTGTTAAACCTTGTTCCCTTCATTTAACCACATTGTCTGAATCTAGATTCCATAATTAAATTTTCTCTCTCGTTTTTGCTTTTCAGGTGCCTGTAAATTAGAGGCAGATGTTTTCATCAAATTATTCCTAAGGGAAAGCTTATACCTCTGTTCACTATCTATGCTAAAACAAAAGGCACTTCATTTGCAGCTGGTTATGTGCATCATGACAGAATCCACTTGCCTATTAACAAGTAGGAATGCCAAATCCAGTTAGTTTTTTCATAGTGTTATTTCATTTTTCTTCTTGCTGCTGTCTCTATTATAAGATTCTCCTTGTTTTTCAACAGGACTCATTTCCGAAAAGGTTTGATTTATGATCATTAATACATTAATGGCCAGCTAGATGGCAGCACATAGCTGACCTTGAAAGGCTAACCAGGGTTGTTTAGTATGAGGATGGGAAACTACCAAGGAATACCAGGTCTGTAGGCTAGATTCATAATTTAAAACCATCATAGAAATAAGCAGAAGCAAATCATTATCATACTGTCATCAAGAAAGTCAATGTAGTTTCTCAAAGGAGGCATTGCTTCCACCCCCACTCCTCCCAAAATATAGCTGGTAGTTGTAAATTAAGAATATAAACATCAACCTAGAACTGAGGCAAACAGAGCAAAATTTCAAAATCTCCTCATTAGTTTAAGATTCACCAGACAAGACAAAACATACAACAAGGACCTACTTATGAACTAGATGAACTTTTTTCATGTTATTCAAAGCATAATTACAAATAAAAAGATAATAGCTACTCTATGAGATTGATTCTTTCAGCCAGATAACTGTGCCAGCATCATTCAGGTAAACTTTGCCAGGACTCAGTGCTACAATGAAATATGTTAATTGGTCTGAAATCCATTTTTGTTGTTAGTTGCGAAATCATGTCCGATTCATCGCGACCCCATGGACAACGTTCCTCCAGGCCTTCCTGTCCTCTACCATCTTCTGAAGTCCATTTAAGCTCACGCCTACTGATTAACTATTTTCTTACCTGATAATACAACAGCATGTTTATGCTAAAATGTAGCTGCTATTCAATTACATGTAAAGTTAATGGAGGGTTTTCATTAAACTACTCTTGCAATCACTTGTGATAAATACAACTTGGGTCTTTCTGTTTCTTTGGATCTCCTACTTATGTGTGTTTGCAGCAGGTAGACTGATTCCACACACACCCCTTCAGTGATCCTGGTCATTTTAATTCAATACACTACTGCTGCCTGTCAACTCCTTAACTCATCCCAACTTCCTATTTAAAAAATCAAAACAAAACATGTTCTTCCTAACTCTTTTGCTCCCCTCAAGTTATAGCTAGAAGTGCAATTTTCATTACCACAAAAGGATGGCCGATTTTATTTCTTTCATATTGCCACACTTCTGACAAATTCATTTTTCATTGCTTAAAAAAGCCCATATTAAAAATTGTGGGCTTGTTTAATATATTTTGCCTTTTATATTGGAACTGAAGGCAACAGACTCTCTTTCTCTCTTCCTGTTTCCTCACAACAATCACTGAGGAATGATGTATTGGTCCAGGAGTCTTCAAACTTGGCCCTTTTATGACTTGTGGACTTCAACTCCCAGAATTCCTCCGCCAGCATGCAAGTCATAAAAGGGCCAAGTTTGAAGACCCCTGGACTAGATCTTTTGAGAAGAAAGCAATATACTATAATACTAGTATATTATAGTAGTATAACAACTACTATAATACTTAGCTTATAGTGACTCAGAGTTGTTAAACTGTGGGAAGGTAGTAATTTAATAAACAAGCAAAGACATAAATTCAGCAAGCATGTCAAGATGTTACAAAATGAGGAAATGGCAGTTCAGTGATTTTAAAATGATAGTGATATTTAAAAATGATCTTAAAATGAATGTTGGGTGATTAGAGAACATATACCTAGGCATGTACATATTCATATACATAATGATGTAACATTTTGTTATATACATGTAGCCAATGAAATAAATGAATGTACTTTGTTGTGCTTGTGTGTGAAGCTATAAATACTATAATCTTTTTAACCATGTCATACAGGATAGATCCCATGATTATCATGGCTAATAATTTTTTTCTTTTTATTGCTTAACCTTCTCTATTTATTGGATATGAAATAATTATTCTACATGAAGTCACTAGGAATCAAGCTTGACTCAAAAGAATGCATAACTCTGCCATCCAAGATCGTCTGAATAAACCATAGATAAATCATGCCGAAAAGCATTCCTGATAGGACCATCAAAGAATTTCAAGAAAGGCTGCGTGCATCGTTCTTCAAATATCAAGAAAGGAATTGAATCCTACACTACACAAGATATGATGATGGCCATGACAACTGAACAGAATCTTCTCCAATATCCAGAAGTACCATAAAATAATCATGAATTCAATATTTCATACGTTCTTTAAATTCAATATTTGATCATATTTTAAAATATTACATTGCTTACAGTCAGTGAAGGACAACAAGACTTTTGGTATTTTTTGATGTGGACTAAAGAATCTTATTAGCAACATGGAAAAAAATCCAATCACTAAACCCTTGAACTATGATTATTTATTTATTAGATAATTAGATTATTAAATCTTAAAATGTCTCAAAAGGATTCAAGACTATTCATTTTAATGACAATAATGAAAAGCTTGATTGTTCTTTGGATTACTGCATGATTAAATTATATTTTTACACTTCAAAAATATATCAATTTGGAAAAATAACATTAATTACAGCAAAATCTGACTTTTTATTCAATGAACCTTGGTAAAATGGATTTTTTATTTTATTCCCAAATAATATACAAAGTGCTGTTTCTAAAGCAATTCAGACAACACTATTCATGCCATTTATTGAGATAGTTATTTCATTTGTGTAATTGCATATTGACACAAATATACTTAAATAATTAAGCAGGCTTTATTTATATATATGTCTTTGGTTATTCGGGTTTTCTCCCACGTAAAATTGGAAGTGTCTTGGCAACGTTTCGACGAAGTCTCATTCGTCATCTTCAGGCTGGTGCTTTCGGCTTCGTGCTTCTAGGAGCAATTGCTCCTAGAAGCACGAAGCCAAAAGCACCAGCCTGAAGATGACGAATGAGATTTCATCGAAACGTCGCCAAGACACTTCCAATTTTACGTGGGAGAAAACCCGAATAACCAAAGACCTACATACAAACACCCGCGAAAACCTCAGAAAATACACACACACACACACACCACACATCCATGCAAAAAGCAAACCCAAACCCACACCGATGATGAAGCACGACCATAAACCAGAAGCCAGACCACAGCTGCATCATTAGCCACTTTAAACCACTCCAATCCATACATGAAGCAAACTGACACCCACCATGAAGATGAGGCACGACCATGAACACAAAGCCAAACAACAGCAATGCAGCTCACCACTTCACATCCCCCTGCAACGCAAACTAACCTGAGCACAACAAAGCCCCCACCCAAATAGAACACTCCCCCATCCAATCAGAGCACAGCCAACCCCCCATCCAATCAGAGCACAGCCAAGCTCCTAACCAATCAGAACACAACTCCACCCAATCAGAACACAGCCAAGCTCTCACCCAAGCAGTTCATACCCCCACTGGCAGTTAAAAGGAAGAAACAGCTACAACCACACATTGCTCCTAGAAGCACGAAGCCAAAGACACCAGCCTGAAGATGATGAATGAGACTTCATCAAAACGTCGCCAAGACACTTCCAATTTGACGTGGGAGAAAACCCGAATAACCAAAGACCTACATACAAACACCCGCGAAAACCTCAGAAAACATACACATTTTTTTGAGTTATATAAATTTGGATTTAATAGACATTCAGCTATAATGGACAGCCTTCTTCCTAGCTGGTCCAATAAATCAAGGTTTTGGTATAATTACTTATTAAAGTAATATTCTTATATAGCACATTAATACTGTTTAGAAAAAATTAAATTATTACCTGTAGTGATTCATATGCTAATTCCTTGAGAACTGGGATGCTTATCCCTGCAGGCTTTCTTCAAGTACCATAAAATTCTCTAAAAACAGGAAGAATTTATACCTGTAAGCATATCCATACAAAAATTGTACTGGCTCCCCTAGCATTCAACAATTCGAGTTCTGGATAAGTCTGCCAAATCTGCAATAAAACAATGAGAAAAAACTATGTAAAACTTTTTTTATAAGATTTACTAAATCGGACAACTCTTGTTCTTTCTTTATTAAATATTATTTCTAGATCCATATTTCTATTTCCTTCCTAATACAAATATTGTTTGTTATACCACCTACCTCTCTTTGTTCCCTTCTCTGTAGAATAGAGTTTAGGTAGTAACTACTATAGTTTATTAATTTATTAATCTTATGACCATATCCAAGAGAGTAAAATAGGGGTTAATACCAAATATAATTCCAGAATAAAATAGATAAAAAGAAAATACAATAATAAAATACATATGTGATTAAATACAAAAAAATCAGCATTCAGATAAATACATTCCTTGTATATTATAACCTTACCTGTGCAATACAACATACATTCTAAGATGCCTTGTGTATAAACTGTTCTGCTCATAATATATACATTACAGCCCAGGAGGAAATAGGATAATCTGTGATTTGAGTCCCAGTGAGCTGTTTTTTTAAATTGGGGTTGTCAAATATCTAAGCCTAAAAGAGGCATAGAGTTGATAGTCAAACAAAAGATGAATATTTTTGATGGCTGGGACACCATGTATACAGTATGGCAAGTGATGAAAGTGCCCATATTTGACTATGGAATTCAACAACTCATATCTTATTCTAGAATAGGTCCTTCTTAGAAGATGTGTCCAATTCATTGAAAATTATTTTTCAGACTGAGAAATAGTTTTTGTTGTTAGCGACTCAGTGCAAAGATCTAGTTTTTATCAATAACTCCAAGACTGTTTGGGCATTGATATCTAAAATTTTCTGATTAAAATGTCATTTACCTGGGAGACAATTGAGAATAAATATTGGGTGGAAAACCCATGATGTGAAATAACTTTTATAAGTCAGTTTACCCAAGATAGCTATTTAGCTTTCGCAACAATCTTTACAAACCCATTTGAATTTACATCATTAAAATCTTATCAGCATATAAAAGAATATTAATAAATTTACCATGGAACTTTGGCATATGAAGCATACAAGGATCCTGGAATATTATTAACATAACTGTTTACAAAGCATTGGGCAACCCTGTCTAATAACTTAAATTCTTAGTTATAAAACTGTTTATACTAATACAGATTTTCAAGTGAGTATTTGAAAACATTAAAGAACAAGATTGTTAAAAATAAAAGGAATATAAATTTGGTATATTGGATGAAAATTAAACTACATATATCGTTATCGCAGGTAACTCTTAATTTTGCTAACCAGACAAATAAGAAGTTTTAAGGATTTGTTTATAGATAAGAGATAGGATATGGGAAGAAGAGATTTGTTGTATTTGTTGTATTTTAAGATAAAGTGATAAGTTGCTAAAATTGTTTATATTTCTTATGATCAAGGGGGAATTCATATCTTTATATATTTCTTTTTTTCATTTTTTCTTCTTTTTTTACTTTTCTATTTTTAGTTTGTACTAGTTTTTGTCTAGTTGTAATATTTAATAAAATTATTATATATAAAATAGAAACAACATTGTAGAATACTAAAATTGGAAACTTTTTTACACTAAGTCTGAGGTATCCAAAACTGATTTCCAGGAGAAACAACATTCCTGCAATGGCCTTTTCAGAAGGGCCGTTAAGGCTCTGTAATTCCATACAAGCTTTGAGCAAAATTGTAGCTGTTAATTTTATGATGCTCCCTACTGTTTGGTATAATACTACGGATGACTACTTAATTATTTCAACATTTAAGTAGCATAGCAATGTCCATGGCTTAGATCCAAATTGTTTTAAGAGGAAAGAAGAAATGCATTTATGCTATTCTACTGTGAAGTCTTCTGCTAACATAAAGAAAATATAGACTGATTAAAAATAATCTTGACAATGAGCTTTGTGTCCAGAAATATGTCTAATTATCTGAATCAATGAAGGTAAGAGTATTTTATTTTTATTTTTGTGAATACTCTTTTAGTAATTTAGAGAACTGTGAGCAACAGAGACATGCCTGCAGAAGGTCATTTTTGCATCCAGTTTTTGCATCAACTATTTTTATCTGTTCTGAACGTTGGACAAAGAATGTCATTTGATATTATGAAAAATTAAATAAAAATGTTAGTTTTTTCTTTTTAGCCTGTATGCTTACTCCTCTTCTTCAAATACTGAAGGTAAGATGAATGACAGATTTAAATGGAATGTTTTTAAATAGCCTAGCAAACTGTAAATAGCTATTAACAAAAATAATAAATTCTGTCACCTTCCCAGAAGAGAAGAAAATGTTCTCCAGATTTTATGTATTAATCAAAGTTTATAAAACTTTAAACCCTGGCACACTACTATATAGCAAAAATGCAAAAGTACAATTTTTAAAATTCAAATATCTTTGAAAACCAGTTTCTGCCATAGGCATATTTTAGTCTAAAATTCTCAGGAATACTGCTCATAGGCAAGAACTAGTTTCTGGCTGGTAATCTGAATTTTTAAAGTAGTCCTCAGTGAATTCACATCCAAATTATTAATTTTAATTATGCACAAAGCTATTTGGAGTTTTCCAGAGCATATAATATTCTTGGAAAGAATCCCACCCTGCATGCATTCCAAACATGATTGAATCTATGGCTGAATCTATGAGTGAACCAAGAAGGAATGCTAAAGTTATCTAACAAGTGTGATAGTAGGTAAGTTGTGAGAATTCATAGATGGTCACTTGAATTACTCAAGTTTTCAGGTTAAATAACTAGTTCTTCACAGTTTCTGTGCTGCATAAGTGGCTTATTAACTGGAAGAAAGGTTTATTAACTTTTTATTAACTCTTTATTAACATAAAGAGCTGAAGGCTGTACCCATCCTCTTGTAGAAGATTTCTACAAATATGAAAGGCAAGTTCTGTTTAAATGATAAAAGCATGGAGGAAAGGTAATAAATATACCAGTGATGGCGAACCTTTTAGAGACTGAGTGCTCAAAAACTGGCCCGCCCCCGGCCCACCCCCGCTCTGTCCACCCGCAGGGCCAATCACCACAGATCGCCCAGGCAGCCTTGCAGCACCACCATGCCCTCTGCCCACACCCCGCAGCATTATCTGCACATCATGGGGCACGAGGGCAGTCTTGCCCCTGCTGCCCAGCTGCCATGTGCTTGGCTGCGCTGCTCCACATGGGTCACGCCTGGGGGAGCCTCTGGTAAGGAGGGTGCTGCTGGTGAACAGGGGTAGGTGGGGGGACGTGGGGCTGGGGCAATGGCATGCGTGCCCACAGAGAGGGCTCTGAGTGCCACCTCTGGCATGCATGCCATAGGTTCACCACCACTGAAATATATTGTCCTTAGTTAAGTGCATTCTGGTAATGGGTTTGGAAGGAAAGTAGTATCTGCACAAATAACTATCTTATACACAAAATAAGTTCTTTAATTCTGATAGTTCTTTATGCAAGACATATAACTCTCCCATTCAATAATGCCATCATCCATGACAGAAAGCAACCAATTCAAATGTTTTGATGTTAATATGGGGAAATGATAGAAACACCCTAGGAACAGGCTGATGAAAATACTGGTGTATAAAGATGAAAAGAAGTTGGTACTATCTATCAGTGGGTAGAAGAAAGAAGAAAGAAACGGTTATGGAATACAGTTTTGTGAAGGACAGACTTAAGCCACAGTGTTTTATATTGTTTCCAATCCAAAAGGAATGACATATTTTGACTCTGATATTGCACAGAAATAAAAAGTCCACAAAAGATGACCACTTAACTGCATGAAGATCTTTTGTGGAAAGAAGCCATGTAATGAGGATCTTCTCTATTTTTATTCCAAGCAAAAGAAGGATAGATCCAACAAGCTCTGAGACAAAGGGATTGAGACCCAATTGGTACACCTACCCCAGTGAAGAATAGGTTGCAATGGTTCAGAATACAAAGATAGCTTCAGTGACTGAGCCTCAGCAGAGAACCAAATAATAGGTACCAAAGCTATCACAATGTTATAACCAGTTTCTTCATACATGTGAACCTTTGTTAGTACTTCTGTCCAAAGAGAAATCTGTGCAAAATATATAAAGGAAGGTACATTCCTAAAGAAAAGGAAGATCTGCTGTAGAGGTTCATTGTGCTCTGAAGAAGCAGCTTGTCCCAAAATACGAAGATAATGATCTTATGTTTGGCCTTAGTATTTATTTATTTAATAAGATTTAATAAAGATACAGCAGTGCAGTGTTGCTTGACTAAGCATAGCTGAATTAGCCAACCAGGATATTGCCATTTTCTTGTTTACTTTCTCTGTGCTAAATAGGAAATGTAAGCTGCTTTAGTACTATATAGGAAACTGACGAGTGGACCTTATGATAAGTTATTTATATGCCACAATTTTAACACTGTTTGATACAATCCAATTTGTTCATCCCTGGAAGTAAACTTTAATGATTAGAGCTATTTCCATGTCATGAATACAAGTAGTAATTGGCATACCTCTGTAATAGAGACTGCCCGTTATAGTCGTATATTGTAATGGTTGTAAAATGGGTCAGTCATCTTTTCTGCAGCAGTCATTAAGTGAATCTGCAATTGTTCAGCAAAAGCCATCATGGTTAAATGAACAAACTATGGACATGGCCAAAAACAAGGGCAGATATCCGGAAAACAATCACAAAATGTAGTCTTCTAACCACGGGATGCTGAAAACAGACATAAATGTGGCCCTCTTGCTAAGTACCCAAAGTTCAGTCATGAGACTATGGCGGGGCCTGATTATCAGAATCCAGGTCATAAATTTCCTTTTTGGGGTTAGTCATAACTTCAAACAGTCACTAAGCTGCCCTTTAGTTCCTCTCCAACCCATGGCAAACACTTATCAAATTAAATTTGTTTTTAGCACTGGAGTCTGCTCCAGAAAATGTGATCATAACTGTTACAGTAAAATAATCAGGTATTTTAATATTAATTTGTGTGAGTGTGTATGCGTGTGTGTATGTGAATTCATGTTAGCCGATACGTCAACAGTATCGATCTCC